TAAAAATAATGGTTGATCCTTCAAAAACACAAGAAAACAAAATAAAAAACAGAACAGTGTATTGGCAGCTTACAGGGACTTTCTCAAACTATATTGGATTGTCTAATCTCTTTACTTTTAAAATAGGAAGAGTGTAAGCACATGTAGACAGTAATAACAGATTCAAATGGCTAAGGTGCAGCATACTTCTGTTTTACAGGTAAATATTGATATTGAGTAAACATTTTTACTGTTAACTCAATATTTTGGACAGATTGCAAAAATGCCATTTTTAGTTTCTGAAGAATTTTGCTTACTGAAAATATAATGATTTATTTTTTGGATCACGATTTATGTATTTTCAGAGATAGAACAGGGTTTCTGGTCTGCATCTTAATTATCATTACCTAAAAATATGATAAACAAGTAACAAAAAAATGCTTCATCATCTTATTTTAGTTGCAAATTAATGTTTATGATGAAGGAACTTTTAAAACTTAATATTCCATCTTTTTTCTTTCAAACTTATAAAAGATATTCATGGAAAATACAAAACTAGGCAGTTCTTTTTATTTTTTTTCCTACATCATATCATATACCCAGAAACTTGAATATTGAAGTTTTATCTGAAAGTTTTGGGAGGCAGGACCAAATTGCAACAATGCTTGACCAACATTTTTGTACAAAAAGTAAAAATAAAGTGGGTATCAAAAATCAATGTGGTACCAGCAGTTAGCGTAATGGCTATGTCGCTGGACTCCCATGTAGTTGACTGTGGTTCGCATCCCGGACCCGGTGGCTTAAAATTCATGCCGGGCGCGTGTGCTTGCGTGCCCAAGATCCTGAGAGGAGAACGGAGGAGAAGGGATTGTGGTGTGGCCATCCCCCTGGGGGGTGATTTCTCGCTTTCTATTTCTCTGTCTCCCTCTGTCTGTCTGGTTAGCGCACACACCCTATAGCAAAAAACAAAAACAAAAATAAAAACAAAAACAAACCAACTTCTCAAAAAAAAAAAAAATCAATGTAAAACAAATGATGACTTTTCTTCCCTCTCCATTTTACTTGTATTTTTTAAATGAGAATCTTTGATGATAACCTCTAATTATTTTAAAATTTATACCTTGTAGGTGATGTTAGAACAAGGTAAAATAAAAGGCAATTTCTGGCCAGCAGGTGGCATGGTGGTTAAGACTTTTGAATCCTATCTGGCCAACTGTGGTTTAAGTGCCAGATTGATGGTTTCCTTTCTGACTTTCCCTCTCTGTCTGGTCAAATTAGTAATAATAAATACAATTAAATAATTCTTTAAAAATAATTTCTATACGTAAGGTAATGATACTATTAGTAGGATATTAATTTTCAGCCTTTACAATTGTAAATACTTTATCACACATGTTCTCATTTTTAATCTCACTTAAATAGGTATTAAGTAATATACAAAGTAATCACAGTTTAAGCCTGTGCTCATCTGAGACGTAAGTAGAAATTTGATAATCTACCCTTGAAATTTGTCATCTAGGTTTTAAAGTCAAATTACTAAGTTATGTCTTCCCAAGCTTCTTATGTCTTTTCATCATTTCCAGTCAATACATCTTATGCTCTGCACTGTTCAACCCCCAAATTTATTTAGTTATAATAATATTTACCATCAATGAAAATATGATCTTGAAATACAGGGACATGTACAGTGAAGAGAAATTATAAAACATCTTACGTGAAATTACTGACATTAAATATCACTCTCTCTACCATAACACCTGGACAGTATATTGTCTATGAAAAAAATTGTAAAACTTCTTTAAAAAAAGCTTTTAGAAAAGAGTGTTTGTTGAATTATTAATATCAAATTCATCAAGCTATCAAGCCTTAGGATAAGAATGAGACAAATGAAATAGCAAAGTTCAAGATAGGCTAGATAGTAGATCAGGGTGCATGGGAAAGTGCATGTGTGAAGCCTACTGGCAGGGGCTTTAGATTTCTTCCTTTTTTTTTTTTTTTTTTTTTTGAGAGGGTTTTTTTCTCAGGGGACATGCATTCACTGGAAAGAGAGAGAGACAGACAGACAGTCAGACAGACAGACACAGTGCGAGGGAAAGTGAGAAATCACTCCCCAAGGTGGATGGATGACCATGCTACAATCTCTTCTCCTCAATTCTCTCCCAGCATCTTGGACACAAATGCACATGCTTGGTGAGATTTTCTTTTTTTTTAATTTTATTATTGTCATAATCTTGTTTAAACTACATTGAACCACATGTATCTTTACAGTGCATTACTTTTCTTTTACTAGAAGGAATACCATGCATTATCAGTGAAGATAAAGACATTACTATCCACATCATCATCATCAAATAACTTTTCATAATTTTTTTCCAGATTATTATCATTATTTTTTAAACATTCAATCACCATATATCATTTTGCTTATAAAAAGAGTTTTCCCAACATGAAATACTCAGACCAGTCAGTTGAGAATACTACATGTTATCAACAGGTGATAAACCATTTCTGTGTCCTACTAGTGTCATGCCTTTCTATTTGTTCTCTTGATAGCCTTCTCTATACTATTCCCTTCTCCTGCTCTGTTCCACACTGTATCCAGCATCCCTAACTATTTTCACTGCTTTTATGCCCTCCAATATTTTGATCTCTACCATACAGTGTGGATAGTCAGTATATATTAAGTGGATACATACAATATCTTTCTTTCACTCAGCAATAGATTCTCTATATCTAACCATTTTCTATCAAATGCCAGGGTCTTGTTTTATTATTTTTTATTTTTTTATTATTATTTTTTTTTATGGCTGAGTAGTATTTCATGGAGTATATGTGCCATACTTTCTCAATCCATTCATCTGTTTGTGGACATTTGGCTTGGTTCCATGTTTTAGCGATTGTGAATAATGCCGCAATAAACATTGATGCGCAAGCACTTTTCTGACTGAGTGTTCTCCTGTACTTTGAGTAGATACCCAGAAGTGGGATTGCTGGATCAAATGGTAGTTCTATTTGTAGATTTTTGAGGAAGCTCCATATTGTTCTTTAACATAGCTGAACCAGTTTACATTCCCACTCACAGTGTAGGAGATCCGTTCCCTTTTCCCTGGTGAGATTTTCAAGTCACTGGGTCCATGACTCGAACCACAGTCATATGGGAGTCCAGTGATGTAACTACTGTGCTATCAGCTGACCCAGGGACTTAGATCTCTAACGTTCACAAGGTGATCAGGAGAGCCAGCTGCCTGGAAACCATGTCAGCCTAGAATGGAGCTCTCAAATGCCAATGAAACTGCACTAGGTATTTGCTAAGAGACCAGATGTTGTTGCTGATAGATAAAATATGTTCCACAGCTTGCTACCTGTGTTTTATTAGTGGTACCTGAAGAGAGTAGCAATTTTAGCAATTAATAGAAAGTCAATTTTTTCTCGCTCCCTGATTCACAGATGTGTGTTAAACTGCAGGCCTATGCTAACAGAGTACAACTACTAGTATATTTATTGATTAAGGCCATGTTTGCCATTTTTACAAAACAATATTTTTTGCATAGGAAAGTTATAATTTATTTATTAAAAGATGCTTCAACATTTATGTAAGTGGAATGTCCTTACATTTCTCAGCAGGTGTTCACCTGCTTATTGATTTCTTATTGAGCTGGAGACAACAAATGTTTGTAACGAAGCAATAAACAAAATTAATTATTAAATTTAACATAGGTTCTTATGTATGGTGACTCTAGTGCCTAGTATTCAAATGTTTTATTTATTAAGTTTTTTTCTTAATAGGGGATGTGCACTCACTAGAGAGAAAGAGACAGAGATAGAGGGAAAGTAAGAAATTATCTGCCAGGTGGGATGGCCACACCACAATCCCTTTTCTTTTCAGGATTTTGGGCATGCATGCACATGTACCCAGCATGATTTTCAAGACGTTGGGTCTAGGACTCAAACTGCAGTTGGTCATAGGGGAGTTCAGTGCCTTAACCAGTATGCCACCTACTGGCCCCAGTACTCAAATATTAGTCTCATATTGAAGTTGAATATATTCACAGTGTTGAGGAAATATACTTGAAATTGATTGATGAAACTGTAATAGAATAATACAACTATCCCTGCTTTTGCCCAAATGCAATATAAGTCATAGCTCTCAGCTTTACATCCAATTCACTGAGACTGACTCCTCAAAATTCCAGAAGTCATCATTAACGAGCTTCTCAGTTTTAGTTCCATGCTTGTATGCTTCTCCAGTGTTGTACTGCAATGAGACTCAAGTTGAATATGACTTTATTCCCTCAAAGAAGCCAACTATTATGCAATCATCTTAAGGAAGAGATGTTATGGTGTTAGTTTAGAGGCATCTGACTACATTCTGTGCACTTGATTTTGAGAGTTGCCTTTTTTATTTTGAAAATATGTTGGAAAATGCAGACTTGATACGTATTACAACTGTAAAAAATTTTTATTGCATGTTATTTTATAAAATCATATTTTCTTATTAGTTTTTTTTTTTTTTCTTTTTGTTAGGGGATGCATGTGCTTGCCAAAGAGGCAGAGAGAAACCGAGAGATTGAAAGCAAGAAATCACCCACCAGCGGAGATGGCCCCGCTGCAATCCTTTCTCCTCTATCCTCTCAGGATTATGGGCACACATACACACGCACCTGGCATGAGATTTAAACTACCAGGTTTGGGACTCAAATCACAGTCAACTATGTGGGAGTCCAGTGACGTAACCATTACCCCATCTGCTGGGTCCAAAATCAAGTTTTCTTTAGAAGACTGAGAATGTTATGTGAGAATGGATTCTACAAATGGTGCTGACGAGGACAAATTACTCCATGTTTATTATTGGAGGAGCCAAAGAAATAATGATTCAAATTCAATATGAAAGTCAAAGTACTCTGTAGCTTATAGCATGTAAATTACTTTAAACCAGAAACTTCTAAAGTACATAGTATGTAGACAGAGCATTTCATAACACATTGTTTATTGATTTCCCTTTTACTTTTTCTCTCCTGTAGGGGGTGGTTAGGCCCACTGGGGGATATGCTGTCATGTTAAACTGGACAATGTCTTCTATATATGGACTTAAACCTGGAGAGGTAATCCTGTTATTAAATTTGTATTACATGACATTTCTGTGATTAAGAAATATGTGTTTCATGATCCTTCGTATTTTTTAGGTGTGGTGGGCAGCCTCTGACTTAGGCTGGGTTGTTGGACATTCCTATATCTGTTATGGACCTCTTCTACATGGGAACACAACGGTTTTATATGAGGTAATAAAATACAATCTGTGTCACATATTTATAATATCCATTTTATTGGGAATTATTGAGTAGTCCTGAATAGGAGCAGAAAAATGTGAGTGGGGATGAGGGAACATATTTGTGTCTTTTTTCAGTTAAAAGTATAATTTTAAGGGGGAAAAGGGTATATAGGGAATAACGGTCAGCAGTTTAAATTGTGTTGAAAAACAAAGGTACTAAAAGTGATATCTTGAAGAATGTACAATAACACACTTGATGTGCATCTGTAACAGATTTCTGTAAAGTATTATCAAATTGTTGGTTTTAAAATCATAGAAAATAGTCATCATAAAACAACATAGATTCACCTTTTGTTTCCTTATAGGATTAATGGATTTCCTAAGGTATGGTGTCTTGATTTTAGCTAGATACTTCCTGTAGTTTGTGATAATAGCTTTGTCTATAAATAAGAGAAATATGGGCTATCCAGACTCATGGGTGAATAACTGCTTTAAGATTCTGACGTATGGGTTAATGTAATGCAGAAGTAAGAGGTATTTTATTTTGTGTGTGTATACTGGAAAATTCTCATATGGCTGTTCTATTTAATTTTATCAGTGACTCGTATGAAGAGTTGGCAAATCTACCTACCAATTTTGTAGGAGATTAAAATCTTGAAGGGAGGGGCCAGTAGGTGGTGTGGTGGTTAAGGCACTAGACTCCCACAGTATCTATGGCAGTTCAAGTCCTGGACCTAACAGCTTGAAGAGCACAATGCATATGCATGTGTGCCTATCTAAAACTCCAGAAGGAAACAATGCATATACATGTGTGCCTATCTAAAACTCCAGAAGGAAAATGGAGGAGAAAGGATTGTGGTGTAGCCATCTCCCCTGGGGAGTGATTTCTCACTTTTCTTCTCACTGTTTCTCTCTGTCTTTCTCCAGTGAGGATATGAGCCCTATGGCAAAAATCTTTAAAAAAAAAATCACTAAAGGATTACAAAATAGTTTGTTAAGTTATTTTTCAAAATGACCTAATGACCTTATACTTCAGGAACAAAACTAGAAATATTGAAAAGTATAGAAGCATTCACAATCATATTTAGATCATAAATAATGTGCATGTGAAATAGGAGAACTCTGGATTGGTTGTAGTTTAAGTGGTTGAATCTTTGCATATTATAATTATCCATATCTATAGCAAAAGCTATTGGTGAAACTGCTTAAAAGTAAATAGAAGTTGGGCAAGGACACAGAACTAGCAGAACTGAACCCACATGGGAAAAGTCCTAGGTTCAAGTCCCAGGACCCACCTAGGCTTGCCAAGAACCTGGTAGACTTAATATGTATTTGAATGTTTCTAATAATTAATCATAAAATAATCTTAACAGACCCATTCCACATCAAAGTCCTTGCAGTAGAATAAATATTTTATTAAAATAATCATTCCTCTTGAAGCAAAAAACATAAACCTCAACACTGAATATTCATATTGAATTGACATTTCATATGTAAAGGTGTTAAAATATGTGTTACATACTGAAAGCAGTATTGAGAGAGAACCTTATAGCAGCAAATAGATAAGTTATATAAGAGGCAAAGTCTCAAATCAGGACTCTGTTGGGTTATTTGAAAAGTCACGATGTGTGGTTTTATTTTTTTCTATGTAAAAATTGTGACTGCTTTTCTGACAATCCAGTATATTCCCACATCAAAAACCTAGGACAAAGAGAGCAAACAAAACCTAAAATAAGCAGAAGAAAGTAAGGAAATAGAAGTGAGCAGAATTAATGTAATGGGAAACAAAAACATAGAGTAAATTAATAAAATAAAGGGCTGATATTTTGAAAAGATAAATAGTATTGTCAAACCTCGGCAATTCTGACAGAGAATAAGAGAGAAAATAAACAAATTACCATACCACCAATGGAACAGGAGATATCAGTTAAGACCTTGAGGATATCAGAAGAATAATAAAGGAATACCATGGGCAACTTAACACACAAATATGATAACGTAGATGAAATCAATTCCTCCAAAGACAGAAACTGTCAAAACTCACCAAAAAAAACAAAACAGAGCACTTAAATAGCCTTATTGTTATGAAGAAGATCAAACTCGTCATTAAAAAGACATCCAATAACAAATCTCTAGGCACAGAAAATTTCCCTGAAAAATTCTACCAAAAGTTAAAGGAACACCATCAGTTCTGCACAATCACTTTCAGGAAGTGAAAGAGGAAGAAACCCTTTTCTGTTTGATGAAGCTTTACTGCCCTAGTAACAAACCAGACAAAGGCAGAAAAAATAATACAGACCAATATTCTTCATGAATATAGATATAAGAGTCCTTGACAAAATATTAGCAAATAGAATTTAGCAGTATGTGAAAGGATTGTCTATTGTAACCAAGTGGAATTTATTGTATAACTGTAAGGTTGGTTCAATATTTAGAAATCAATGTAATTTACTATATCAGTAGGCTGAAGATTAAAAAAAAATGTGATTGAGAAAAAAATCATTTGATATATTCAACATTCATTCATAATCAAGAACTCTTGGAAAACTTGGAATAGAAACTTTCTCAACTTGACAAAGACATCTGCAAAATAACCCACCACTAACATCACACTGAATAATAAAAGACTGGATGCTTTCCCCATCATTAGCATTTAAATATAAGATATTCAATATTAAAACTTAAATACCATCTCTCCTCTGATTTTATTTGCTTGCTTTCTTCAGGCTGATTGAATACCATTGGATACCATGGGCAACTTAACACACAAATATAATAACGTGTGTGTTAATAAATTCCTCTAAAGAAATAAACTGTCACAACTCACCAAAAACAAAACAGAACCCTCAAATAGTCTTATTGTTATGGAGAAGATCAAATTTGTCATTAAGAAGACGTCCAGGGACCAGCAGTTAATGTAATGGCTATATCACTGGACTCCCACATAGTTGACCATGGTTCGCGTCTTAGACCCAGTGGCTTAAAACTCATGCTGGGCACATGTGCGTGCGTGCCCAAGATCCCAAGAGGAGAATGGAGGAGAAGGGATTGCAGTGTGGCCATCCTCCCTGGGAGGTGATTTCTTACTTTCTTGCTTTCTGTCTCTCTGTCTGTCTCTGTCTGTCTGGCGAGAACACACGCCCTATAGCGGGAAAAAAAAAAAAAAAAACAACTCTAAAAAAAAAAAAAAAAAAAAAAAAGAAGTCCAATAACAAATCTCTAGGCACAGAAAATTACCCTGAAAAATTCTACCCAAGGTCTAAGGATACACTATATTTCTATTATCCCATCTATTCAGTAGATTCCTCTGCTCTTACAATCTTAACAAATACAGTGCTATCATTCGGTAAACTGTTCAAGACAGGGGATGTTTGTCACTTCTGTATCCATACTGCCTGATGCAGTGCCTTCTCAGAGATAACTGAAATTTGTTGAGTGAAACTGTATAATTTTTAAGAGGACTTGTTGACAATTGGAACATGTAAAATACTTCAACAGGAAAAATATTTGTCAGGTTGCTTGATTAAAACAAAACTAGGGGAAGGTTGGTGGTCCAGTGATTAAAACTACTCTCTCTGAGGCTGACCCACATGGAACAGTTCCCAGTTCATATCCAGAGCTGTCCTTAAGTATACTGGGCTTGTCTTCTGTTTACCCATAATCCTCAATTGACTGGGGGTGGATCTTGGCAACAGGACTTGTTGGGGTACTATAACTTTTATCTCTTCATGTGTCTCTTTCTGTCTCTCTTGCTCATAGAGAAAAAAAAATTATTAAATTAAACTAAAAAAAGATAATACTGACTTGTTACTGAGCCAGCAGATTGAAAAAAAAAATTGTTAGTCTATATAAAATAATTACCCTACTTGTGCTTCTGTTTTGGCCTGATTATCAAATTAATATTTAGTATTATTTTGCTTTAATATTACTGTTTTATTTAGGAAGCAAAACTCTTATTAAGATAATAAAAGACACATTCCTTATACAGTGAACAAATGCATTGAATAGATCATTCATGTACTTCTCATAGGATTACTTTTCCTAAAGAGAAACGAGAAATAAAATCTTACATAGCTTAGTATGATCAAAGCTTTATTTCCTTCTTAATGAATTATAGGATTTTAAAGCCATAATATAAAGTAGATAGTGACTTGGTATCTGGGACAATATTTTTACTTAATGATGAATTCTGATTTTACAAAAATTGATGCTGTGAAGTGCTAGTAGATTTGCTGTTCATTATGTGTCAGGTTGTCTAGAGTACAAGTCTGTTCATAAAACATCTTTTATTGAATTCAAATGGTTCATGATATGGTATAAATGGTACTTTTTCCTCAGCAAAAATCAAATTTCCTATGTTCTGGAATTTAATACAGATCCATAACTACTTCAGGTGGAAAAAAATCTCCAAAGTGGATATAATTTAGACATTCAGTTTAACTTCTAGGCACATGAGATTCCTATTATAGAAAGGTTGAAATGATCTGTTTAACATGGACAAATACAGTGGCTTTTAAGTAAGATTTTCTTTTCTGCCATGAGAAGTCATACTCTATCTGAGAAGTCTTGGATTTCCATTTTGGCAATAGTGTTCTGATGATTACCATGTTTTAGAACATACTTATCTCACTAAAACAAACAAGCAAGCAAACAAAAACTCCTACTCCTTTTCTCACCTTGCCACATTTCTTCTTCATCTTTGAAAACATGTCTGCACTCACTGATTTCTTGTTTTCTTTTTTTATATATTTTTTAATTGAACTTTATTTTTATTTACTTACTTATTTATATATTTTAATTTGACCAGAGAGAGACAGAGTGAGTGAGTGAGTGAGTGAGAGAGAGAGAGAGAGAGAGAGAGAAAGTAAGCGGCCAGGTTAGGGACTCAAATCGTGGTCGGCCATGTGGGAGTCCCGTGCCCTTAACCACCATGCCACCTGCCAGCCCCTGCACTGACTGTTTTCTAACCTGGACTTGTTCTGCAGTGCTTTCCAGTTGATCAGTATTATA